ATACAATAAGGATTTATAGCTATATAAGTTTATCCATAATATGTGTATATTTTCTAATATTAAAACGTTGGTACATGCATTCTTCTCATTTATATAACAGTTGGTCTGCTAGAAGTGTATCACTATAAATTGAAGTGGGTTTTTGTACCCTAATATCCATTTTCCATCTACGGCTATGATTGATTTGACAGAAAATATAACCTCTAAAATCGTATTTGACAATCAGGCGCATCTAGGGAAATTGAAAAGACAAAGAGCAGAATATATGTCTTATTCTTTTATTCACTTAAACCATTGTATTATAGAAAATAGAAAAGGACAAAAGTTCAGCTGTGTCCGAACTCTTATCAAACTAATACCATCCAGTGACTCTAGTCTGAGTTACCCTTCCATTTTCAATCTGGATTCTGGAATCATAATAATGTATTCAAGTAGGTACTTTTCAGGTTTAGCTGGCCTAGCTCCCACCGTATTGTAACATTGTAACGCCGGGCCGGAGAGATTCTGGTTCAGTTTCCTTGCCTCAATGGGAATATCATGACGTCGTAGCTGTAAACTTCGGCTATTCATATGCTGCGCTTTACCTCTTCTCCTCGACTAATGAAACCCGTATTCCGAGGTATTCGATTCCTCGCTCAGCCCTAATTAAACAACAATATCCACTCAAACCCCATTATGCCATCCAAGTCGCTCATAAATTTGGCTCCACTTCGCCGCAAAATGTTCTTGCAAAGTAGTCGTTGGCCCGTGTTTTGGCTAGAGTCTAGGACGAGCACCATCTCAGAAGGAGTTCATAGTTCGTATCATATGTGATAGTACAAGTGATACTGATTTGCCTAATAATTTCGCGAATGACATTGTTCTGGATCAATTTCATAAGCGAAATTGAAGCAGCAAGCTGAAGTAGGGCTGCGCGATATAGGACTTCACATATCGTATTGTATTTGTATTGTATTTTATTAAATCCTTCTTTATATCGATACAATAGAATAGACGAGTCAACACAGGTAATAAAAAATACTAGAATACTAAATCATGAATAATACAAAGCGATAAATGATACAATGGACGAGTCAGAACAGGTAATAAAAAATACTAGAATACTAGATCATAAATGGAATCCTAAACAATTATACAAGTTTAAGTAAATAGTTGAAGTACAGAACTGATAGTTCCACATAATTGGACAGTAACCAATGATTAGTTTCAGTTGATTATACACAAGACAAATAATAACAATTAAATTACAATGAGAACTCAAGTAACACTGGAAAGAAAGTTATCAAATTCTTCCAAGTTGTAAAAGAAATTTTATATCGATATTTTCTTCAACCTATCTTTGAAAACTTCACAATTAGGACTAGGTTTCACATTATCGGGAAGCCAATTAAAGTATGAAGCTTCATCCCCAAGAGGAGATTTTTTATAAAAAGAGTGTTTTGATTTTATGACTGCCAAATCATTCCCATGACTGATGGTGTTATGACTGTGGACATCGCAATTCTTTGTCAGTTTATTTCTTAACCGGTAAATATGGCACGATAATTTGAGCGAATAAATGAAGGTGATTGTGAGAATTTCATTTTCCTTGAATAAATCGCGAAACGAAGTTTGAATTGAAAGGTTGAATATAAAACGAATTATTCAATTTTGTAAAACAAAAACTCTTTCAGATGTCACGCCCTTGTTCCCAAGCGATAATACTATAGGCAATTGCCGAATAGGCATATGAATCATACAAACTCAAACATAGATTTCAGAACTGTCAGAAGGTAGAAACACCGATTGATTTTCTTACACACATTATGTTTATGCGCTATATCAATATCGATAGTTTTCCTGGCCCAACTCAAAATAATCTCATTTTTTATCGAAACCAAAGGTTATAGAACGAGTTATAGAATCTTCAACCAAAGTAATAAAATCAGAATAAAAACTATTGGTGAACGATGCCTATACCTAACTACCTACCAAGTACCTACGCAATATAGTTTCATGCCTGAAAAAAGCCTAACAATACAAAATGATTTTGAAAATATCAACTATTGTCTGGACGCGAGAGAATGAATTTTCGGATCCTGTCTCCGCAAATTCATCCAATTGTTCCTGATGATCCATATATTTCAGGCACATTGCAAAATATTGAAACGACTTAACGACCACATTCTCAAAAGTTTCCTTCTGGAACCCCCAAACCCCCTTCTAACTTCGCCACTGTTATATTTTTCCCAATATATTGAGAAAATCTCGGGTGGATATTTTTTTCCAGGCTTAAGCAGGATATTTCCAGGGAAAATAGTATCACAAGTTGTATTGGTATGGATATTATTCCATGAATGAGACAACAAACTAGCGCCTCGCGAGAGTTGCGCTCACTGCATCCATCATTCTGGCTTGCAACATGATTGACGTTTCAAATATCCAGGCTGGTTGTTCACGGGTGGGTCGATTCAGCTACTGTATTGGTAGTCCGATGAAATTTCGTAAACCAAAAAATATCGCTGTAATACAGAAGAAACCGTTATAATCAATGGTCGATTCTAATTGGTTATCGAGAACAAGATGACCTAGACTATTGATCAAGATGATCTCCCCTAATAAACAAGGTGGTTGAAAAAAAGCATATTGGCCCCTCTAGCGCTTCCGTAACATTCCATTGTTTTAGTCAAGATCATTTTTACGATCGGGTATATTCTACCCCTCAGATGGTGCTTCCTCTAGACTTTAGTCGTGTTTTGGGCCCAAACTAAGACAGCATCGGTTCGCCATTCCGCCAGGTCGATTTATCGTGTAAAGTGCCCTCAACAAATGCTACATGGCCACGATATCTTGATTTATAGGTGTTGTATGAATTCATGCAGTTTCGTGTTTTGGATTTGCCGGAGTTGCCGTAATTGATTATATACTGTGAGGTGGCAGGAAGTTTCATTAAAGTTGCTTTTGAGTAGGTAAGCTGATTGCACGATACATACGGTTTTTTGTTTGGATTTATTGTGCAACTTCAAGAGATAGGAAATTCATTGCAGGTGTGGTATGTAAATTTTTGAAATTGCGTTTGTTAATTCACAAGTCACTTGTTTTAGTACATAATCACAATATTTCAATTAATAAATTGGAAAGTATCCTCTATCATGTATATACAATTTTGAAAATTTATACATGATGTCTTCTTCCTTCCATCAGAAATGTATTGAGTGAAACACTCGGTATATTAGTAATTTCGAATAATGAGGGGTTTATAAACATGAAGTTGATCATTGAACTATGAATACTGACCAAGGAACTCTCATTAGAAACGTGAACTAATAAAGTATTGTAAGTATATAAATATTGAATGTGAGGTTTCCGAAGTTAGTCTGGTCTGGAGCTACTCTTGACTTGACAAGATTTCGTCGTTATGGTCATCATAATGTAAGTTGTTAGTAGGTCTTCATTTCCATTGTTATTCTTCCATATTCATCATCACTTCACCCATAATGTTTCGTGTTATAATAAATATTGTTATCTATGAGTATATGGTATCGTACTATCAGTTACCCTTGTATTTTGTGCCTAAACTATTAGTGCCTATTTGAATATTACCTCCTGCAAACCCTTAACCCAAGCATACCCCTTATTAATCGATATGGGTGGAATACCATCCCCATTCCCCATGTCGTAACATAGTGAGAGACCTACCGCTATAACATTACATGGTGGTGGGAAACACCATATTATCGTGGCATGGTGGAGGCACCGATATGGTGTATTGACCATGTTGCGATATGGTGAAAGCACCCATATATCGTGTCTTTGTTCTAAAATTGTTCTTATTCATCATTCGGTTACCCCTTTACGAGCAACCCTCAGAAGTCGTCAAGAGACTTATGCGAGGAAGGAATGACGGGGGTCTCACCATTCAACGTGTGATCCCGAACACTTTCGGAACCCAATTACCGGCAATCCAACGTGGAAAAAACATTGGCGCATCAACCACGAGGCTATGATGGCCATCACCCAGTGAATGGAGAAAAATAAGAAAAGGAGGTGATTTGGAAAAGGAATTTAAATACGAGTTACTTCAATTTAGATGGCAGGAGATGACGATAACAAAAGGGTTCAACATTTGCAGACTTTCCTTAAAATTATTGTGTTTGAGAAGTGGATTGATGGTTCTTTCAAGGTTATTAGAGACCAGATGTTTGACACATCTAGAAAGAAGAGCCAAGTCGCTAGAATCTAGAGATTTCCGCACGGTCATAGTCAGCCGCATCCCTGATTGGGGGGGTTGGCATGACATCACTTGAAAGATCTAGGTTGGCTTGATATATAGTCGCGATGAAATATCCACTATACTGTCTTATTCCACAGAATCGTCAATGGAAAAAAGTAAAGTTATCTGTATAGAAAAATCTGTTTCAGGACCGATATAAACAACCTCAACCTCCGATTTAGAAATCAGTTAACCTTAACCCCGTGATAACGTAAGAGTTTTGTAGTTATAATTGACACGACCATGACATTTGTTGTTATGTTGATGGAGAGAGCTAGATACGGAGATGAACCCATCGGGTATAGTAAAAGAAGGATTTATACTCTGCTGGACTCTCGTCCACTGTACGATGAGTTTAGTATGACCGACTGGAATGTGCTGCTACTTGTTTTCCGATTATGAAAAGAGTTTTGTAATTATTATCGACACGACCATGACATTTGTTGTTAGGTTGAAGGAGAGTGCAAGGTACGGAAATGAACTCATCGGGTATTGTGAAAGAAGGATAACCATATTGACTCATTATCATCACAAGGAGACAGATTTTTACATTAAAATATCGAATTATACTCTGCTGGACTCTCGTCCAATGTACGATAAGTTTAGTATAATCGACTGGAATGTGCTGTTACTTGATTTCCGAGTATGCAAAGAGTTTTGTAATTGTTATTAACACTTCCATGACATATGTTGTTATGTTGATGGAGAGAATTAGGTACGGAGATGAACCCTATCGGGTATAGTAAAAGAAGAAGGCACAATACATTTATTATGTCGCAGTGTATGCATAGATTACAAATTTCCTAATCCAATCTGGCACAATGATACCCCAATTCTAAATTATTCAAAACCCTGATATACCTACGTGTCAACTCTTCGTCGACATATTCTTGGCATGTTAACGAATAACCTTGAGGAACTGCGCATGTCGAGGCGTAGGGTGATTTGCAATGAAGCTAAAACTGGAGGTATGCATTAGTGAAGTACAGCCAGTCATGTATCCTCTGCAAGCATGGACATTTCCAGGGGTTATATGAGTCCAATGAGATATTTTTGACGGAAAATTTTTTCAGGAACTTGTCTGGGAGATAATTGGGATAATTGCATTGGATGTTCAGATAATCGATGTGCATGTCATTCGGAAATGCTCGCTTGTCGATCACCGTCAGTCTGTTGTGGAACAAGCCCAAATAGCTGAGATTTTCCAAGTTTTGGACAGCGTCTAGTTGAATGGTGGTGATCTCGTAATCGTCAAGTGAGATTATATCGAGTCTTGGTAGCGCTGCGAAAGCTCTTATCGGGATCACGGAGCTTTTGTTGTTATTGAAATTTATGGTTCGTAAATTGGTGCAGTTTTCAAAACATTCTCTGTTCCAATATGATAGCGCGTTCTCGCTCAACCCGATTATTTGTAACGACTCTAGATTGGTGAAAGCTCCACTCTCTATGAAGTCGATCTTGTTTCTGGACATCCACATATATGTTATGCTGGAAATCGAGTTGGAAACATCTGTAACAAGAAATAAGTGCGGTCAATTCCCATAATTTACCGTCAGATCAAAATATTTTGAACAATACCTGTCGGACACTTAATCGCTTTTCAATGAGAAGTATAGCATAGATATAAATGAATAAAATCACAAAATTAGACCATCCAATACCAATTGAATGGTAGATCTCGAAAACTTGATGACAAAGCGTCAATATTTTCTAGAATATTTTGCCCCTGTCGAGAAATAATATCCGATGGACCAGTGTGAAAAAATGGTCGCACTACAAGTATTCAAATCCGCATATTGAGTATTACACTGGTCCATCGGATATTATCTTTCGACATTGGTGAAATACTTTGGGAAATATTGACGCTTTGCCACGAACTTAGTGTTGAATAGCGACAGGTTTGGATAATCGCGATGGGGCCATTATCCCCTTTCATTTGCTTTTTGTTTCAACTCAGATTATTGAGGGGTAGCCATACCCATAGTAAGAATCTCCAGATGCGTTAGCCTGATGGCTCTGGAGGACCTGCTATGACAACAATTCCAGGGGTCTTGGGCAGATGCAGGGGGAAAGAGGCAGGCACGGCTCCACATTGCGGGGCCATGCAAACGCCAATCATACAAGCTCCTACAACTGAACAGAAGGGAATGCTCCATAATGGTCCTCTCCGAATGTCCCGCAGTGGCTCGCCAGAGAAGAATATGCCTAGGCGCTGCATACTTGGAGCCTGAGCAGCTAAGAAACATCCCCCTGAACAGAATACTGACCTTCTGCGGAGGAATAGAGCTGTTCAGGAAAAAATCATGGACACATGAAATGAAGTTCACCCCCACTCCATCCCTTGGCTTGGGCCAGGAGGTTAGGGGGGAGCTAGCTGGGGAGAAGCGGGCTTGGGAGCCGGACTAGTGAGAGCTCCAACGTTGGGACGAATGGAGGCTCTGAAACGGACTCTGGGCTCGGTCGACGGGCCCGTGCAGGCTTAGGTATACTGAGCCAGCACGGGCTAGATCGCCGGATCTGAGGGCACCGAAACAGGGCTCACATGAAGACCCATACGTGCGATGAAACTGACTGCGGTCTGGCACCGGAAAAGCAAGCAACCTGGCTCCTCTGAAGGTCTAGAATGAGCCTGGAGGGGCGACACAAGGGTACCTCATGAATGGAAGCTCGCCCCCTGAGCCCAAAAACCAAAAAGCTACCATTCAATTGGTATCGGATGGCATAATTCTTATCTCGTTATGAAACCGCGCGTTATGAATCAAGTGTAAATTACCGCATAGGAAAGTACCATCGGTTCTCAATCATTTTGCTCAGGATAGTGATTGTCACAGGTGCCGTTCGATGAAATACATTGGTTTTTACATGCTTTTTTGACATATATATCATTTCATCTGATGATGACGGTCGAATTTTGCAGCCGGCTAGGACTAAGGACCACATGTGATTTCAGGTGAATGACACTTACCTTTCGGTATCTCTTTGAGGTTGGTCTGCGTAATATCTATCGTTCTGAGGCTGGGCAGATTCCTGAAAGCTCGCGGCTCGAGGATCTCCAGGTCCTCCTTACTGATCATGATCCACTTCAGCTTCGGCAGATTATTTATCGAATCCGTGCCCAGCCGCGATATCTTTCCACTGATCACCGCCTTTGTGATCTCGAATTCCTCGGGTTCGAGACACCCGTTCACCACGAAATCTTGATATACGTTATGTACGAAGGCCTCTTACTAGCGTGTTATTGAAGGAATCACATCCTTCAGTATTGAGGGCAGAAAGCTGTGTCACTAAAATGAAGGAGAACAGGCTAACAGGAATCATGTGCTGTTTGGTAACTAACTGGAACTGTATGGAAGAACGATGGTTTTTGTTGTCTATTGGCTTGCGGCGATTGATTATCAATTCCTACACTCACTGCGTTCAATTGGTGATAACCTCTGAGATTATGATGCCATTTTGAAGATTACAGGTCATAGGCGCCTGCAGAGATATTTCTCAGAGGAAATATTCAAGAAATATCATCTTCAGGATCCCGTTTCGTGAGGCCGTAGCTTCTTCAGGAGACATTAATCGACTCATGTTCAATGGAACTTTTCTTCCTGTGGTGGAGTTCGGAAGGCTGAGTCTGGGACACCCTGTATAAAATATATGATCGACTGAATCGAATTGGTTAGATCGGTTGAATGGCAGCTGAAATCTATCTTTGTTTTGATCGACCACTTCAATTCATAAATGCCGTAATATAACTCCATTCATATTCACGATGAACCATTATCGTATGGGTACCCTTCAGAGTACTTAAATACCAAACACACTCGGCCTAAAATCGATATAGGTAGTACACACCTTGAATTCTTCAGAAACACGAATATTTACAGCTTCTCGAGTGTCATTATCCCCGATAAATACCTTTCACAATAGCTACTCGAAGAATACCGTTTTACAGACGTCAACAATACATTCCTTGGGAAAGGTCTACAATCTACCATATAGTCAGCCATGAGCCATTCTTCTAGAAGGACTGTTATATGTATGGATTCGGAGATTATTCTCAAGAACTCACTTCCTTGTGCTAACTACCCGTTTACAAAAGGTTCATGGACCGAAAAATGTTATGAGATGAATTATTATTATTCGTCGAGCATTGTAGTCTGCAGTCCAGACGATGTTGTGTGCCAAAAATAAATCTTTAAGTAATAATTCTGCGATTCATATTTGGAATGAGAATTCAAGAATATGGCAGAACGACTCTTTGTTCTGGTCAGTTAGCGGGATTGATTGAGATTCATTGAATCTAATTGGAGAACCGGTATATCTTTGAAAGCGAGTTCTGTTTCCCAGTGAAATAAATATGAAGCATCGTCTAAATAAGGACGAATTCTCAAAGACAGAAAACAATCAAGTTTGTTGATATGTCATGAATCCACTAAACACAGAACTTGAAAAGTACCTACTTGTAAGTTGTAGGTGAACAATGAAAAAAGTAAGGTTTATATATTGGTGAGCGCTCTCTGATGGCTATAGTGAAAAGGTGTCCGCATTCTTGTTACGCATCCCGGAAAAATCCTCAAATAACAATTTCAGGAGAAGTACTCTTGAGAATGTTCTTGAATGCTGAGAAATTTCATTTTTATTCTTTAACTTTAACACCCTGTATCTAGGAAACGGAGCAATTTGCTTTAAATCGGCTCATTGAGACCAGGGATACCCTGTATAGTGTCTTTAGGGATGACAACATAAAGTCAAGTCCACAATGTTTAATAGTAATCAAGCTATACTCAGTCAGATTATTGTACATTTTTCAAGCCTAAATAGGCTCTTCTTCAGCAAAAAGTGGAAATTCTACAACAATAGGTACCTATAATAATTGATTCACTCATAATATTTTTTCACAGAATTATCAAAAAGTCCTTTTTCCCTATGATGACACTTTCCTTCATTGGTGAAAAAAATTGACCAAAGTAATTTTGTTGGTGCAACAAATCTTTTTTTTGTGTAGCGACTTTCTGAGTCTGTGTTCGATTTTGATCCGTACCGTCGATATTCGGAAGGATTGAAGGTACGGTTATCAAATTCGCTGTTTCAAGCAACTACAACACATAATTTTGCTAACACGTGTTCATCTTTATCATAAGACCAACACTTGTTCACAGCTTCATAAGACCATCATTCTCAACATCAAATTTGAGTTATTTTGATGTGACGATATTATTTTTGTAAATCACTCATATTTCTGAGACATTATGTCTTCGACTGAATAGAGCCAGTCAGTATACTAATGGTCTGACCATTTTCCGCTTTGTTGGGTGCGGAAAACCATATTTCATAAAAAATAACCTGGATGGCGGGAGAATTTTTCGAGCTTTCAACCTCGCACAAGAATCATCAATCATTCCTGGAACAGATAAATCGATACATAAACAAATTTTAAATTGTATTAAATGCAGTATATAATTTTTCAATGCCCGTTTGACATTGTTGTTTTTAATATTTTCCTGTTATCACATACATATAGTTTCCTAAAGGTCGTAAATCAATATTTATGAGCTGACCAAACTGTTATGAAAGTATTTATTTGATATTATATTATATGTATCCGGATCTAGTATACCGATATGATACACCAAATGGAACCGATTTTCATATCAATATTGATGAGACCATTCGAGAGTAAAAAGAGTTTGACATAAAATCAAATTGGCTATGGAAGGAACATTTTTTGTTTCAATTATACAATTTTGATCAGAAAAATTACCATCACATCTATTTGAGACGTACAATTATATTGATTAGTCAACTTTCTCATCAGCCCTTGTCTTGTTCTCGGATTTTTTTGGGCAAACCAAATCATTACCACGATCGTTTCGAATGATTTCACAAAACTATTCCATCGCCTAGGGAGGTTTCCCGATGCATATAACCTCCAGAAATTCAAAGAGAACACCAATTTTTACTTCATTTCCCATGGTTCTCACGATGTTCTCTGAACATTACAAAATATTTCCTTTTCGTGGGAACCAGAACATAAAAAAAAACTTACATCTCTCACTGCAGTCAGTGTGGAAGTAAATATCGCGTCATTGTCATGTCAAATAATGAATCTGAAATTCGCGTATTGACTTCGTGTATTGACTCGAATCGGTAATGCAGATGTTTCATTCCAAGAGTTACCAGGTTACTTTTCGTGGTGTAGCTTTGCCACAACTGATTTATCAAGTAGGTATGAGGTCATTCTCTACTGAGAACGTGCAGGTTAGAGATCATGTCAACCTGAGTAAATTTCCGAAAATACCTTGGGCTTCTCGGGGGTCAAATGGAGAGTGATAATAACCAGCTGTACCCATTTTTTTCATCTCTTGGTTCGAACCAATCTCTCTCATCCAAAAATCCAGGTTGTTTTAGTAGGTAGTAGTAGTAATGTGGAAAGCCCTTTCGGCCAACTCCTGCTCGCCACATATCTATATACACATCCTTCTTCTAGTTATCCTTTCTGAACATTTATGACCTTCTGATGAAGTCCAGGATATCCGTCCACTTCAATGATTGAGTTATCTTGTTGTGGTTTCTCCACTACAAATTTTTCGAATTTCATCCTTCCATACGCCTCACACCCTCCAAGGAAGTGAAGTGACTTTTCCTCATCTTCTCCGCATCATTCACGGCAAGTGGGACAATCATCTACAGCACCTATGAGAGATAGTATCTGAGCAACCTAATTTATCCTGTCAGTACCCTCATATGAGGAGGATAACTTGGAGCGAATAATACATAAGCATTCATTGTCAAAACAATGTTTGTATTTGTATAGATACGTAGATGCCGTTATCGTATTCTTTGAAGGAACCCATAGACAATTATTAGACACTCTTCGCCAATATATTGATACTATTCATCCATCACAATAGAAATTGAAACAGAAAAGTCAATCAATTTCTTTTTGACAATGAGTAGAATTAATGATAAACATGATTTTTTCAATTTTCCATAAGCTTTCCAACACTGATATCACTATTCATAATAATTCAAAATTCAACACACCCTTATCAACATAAAATTGCAGCATTTAATATTATGATATGATATTGGGAAGTAAATTTCAATAAAAAACTCATTATCATAGAACAGATTGCAGTCAACAATGGATACAACGTTGATTTGATGATAAAGCTATTCAGGAAGTTCCTTCATCCATCAAGAATAAGGATCAAAATTATAGAACTTTTACCTATTTCGGATCATCAACTGAAAAATTAGCGTCATTTTTACATAAATAGGACTTGAAAGTAGTATATAGAACAAATAACACGTTGAAAAGGTTTATCAAAAATAATAAAGACAAAACTTCCAAATTCGATAAATCAGGGGTATACAAACTGGGTCTTGTCCTAAGGTATATAATATCGGTCAGACAGGTCGTACGTTTAATCAGCGCATTCATGAACATGGGATGATTTTTCTTAAAACAAAACAAATTCAACATACCTCAACCATATATCAAAAGAAAATCATAGTTCTGATGATAATTTCGAAATAATACACGTAGAAAGTAAATGACTCAAATCATTAGGAATCAACAAACTCAAAAATTCTTACATTTTTTCAATAGTTTCCCACTGTTGAATTTGTTTTCTTGGTAGGTAATGATATGCATCTGCTATCAACCCTTTCAAGTAATCCGCTACACCGTACTGTAATGTAGATATTAAGATATTGTGCCTGATTTTCTAAAATGAAGGTTTATCAAACCTGTCCACAGGTATAACTAATCCTTCAGGTCGGGAAAGTAGGATATATGAAATTTAAGCAAGCCAAGGTTAGTTGAGTTCATTGTACTGACGAAGCTACTGAGTTAGCAAAACATGTCGTGTGTTTGTGAATCCTCGCTACGCTGTCTCTGACTAGCCTGAACCGGCAACCAGGTTTTTCTATCGCATGCAGATGCCGATATGCCTCCAATAGTCTTCTAGTGCTTTGTCCGCCCATTTATTCAGGGCGGACGGGGCAGATGATGTTTGTCTTCTTGCAATCCCTAACGCAGGCTCCGATCCCCATAGTGGTTTCGCGGATCCGATTCTAGCAAGCTCGTCTGCCACCTCGTTCCCATGCACACCATGTGACCTAAAACCCGTACCAGTTCGACTTCCTGCATACTGAGAGTAATATCGGAACTCATCAATCAACCACCCAGATAAAACAGGATATCCTATGGATATCTTCTACCTGTCAATTCTGGTCGGGAAATCCCTGGATTTGAAATGGACCATTCATGAGATATCCATCCCAGGATATGAAATGGATATTCTTCAGTATATATCTTAAGGAT